CAGCATTGCTTTGAGAAAATCAGGGGAGTTTTTGTTTTCTCAGTTTCGAGTCAAGGAAAAAATACGGCAATCGCACATATGAATATCAGATATTGATAGTACTGATGTGAGCGAGTGGGAGGTCCGTAGCAATTTTCTGGACGAAGATCTGATTTTTTTCGATTTTTTGGGCATTTGGAAATCTTTAGGTTTTGAGTTCGAACTCTCCGTGGATCAAGCATGGCGCAAAGACGTGAGCGCCATCTTGTAGAGCTCGCTTTGCTCTATCGAACAATACCCCTTATCCTTTGTTGGGTTGAGTCTGGTTACTTTGTTAAAGCAAGCAAATAAAAACCGACATTATTTTCTTGACAACCTAATAGCTTTCCCTAGTTGGCTGGCCCAAGCTAAAATTCAATTTTCTCGAGAACTAAAGCTTGTAGGGAGCTGAGAATTTACGTTTGCACTTCTACAGGTCTGTAGTATACTACTACCTATGTGGGAACTGCACAATACCACTTTGGCAAATGCACGAAAATTTCCGATTTCTTGTTTTCTAACAGAAGAAAAAATACGGTAAAGGCGTATATAGATGTTTTATGTGGATAGTGTTTGCGTGAGCAAGTGAAAGTTTTTGTAGGATTTTTATGAACTGAGCTATGATTTTTTTCGATTTTCGGACAGTTTAGTCTTTTTAGTTTTTGGTTCGAAACTCGAGGTGGATCGAAGCTGCTAAAGCCGCTATTTTGTAGAGCTTGCTTTGCTCCATTGAATGGTACTTTGCAACCTATTTAGATGAGAAGTGCATGACTTATCGCTATTGAAATACAAAACGGGCATTAATTTCCGGACAACCTGATACATGAGGCATAACTCACCATTCTTGCCTCCCAGTCTTCACAATCTTTGCGACTTACTATGAACTTTACTTTCGGATTGCATTCTGGACAACTTTTTTCTACGAATGTGGGGACAATTTGGTGGTCTCCATTGATTTTCCAATCTTGATAAATAGGTGAGTTGGTACTGGATTTGGTTAAAAGAGATATTCTTTACCGCCTCCCGATCAAGCCCTCAAAGAGGTAATGCTAGCCGCGTCCAGATCAGACCCTCAAAGAAGTAAATTGCTAGTTGTTTTGGCAGACAGCGACAGAAAGGGGTAATGATCATTTGTTGCATAGATAGGAGCGATAGAAGAAAATTAGTCAAAATTTGAATTTTCTGTGTAGGGTCATAAAAAATCGGAAACTTGCAGGAAAAATCGGAGCAGTTAGTATTGTAGGTTCTTTTACCAGCTCTTTCTAATGGTGCAAAGTTTGCGTCGATTGAGCGTCTCTATCAAAGGTTATGATTTCCCTGAAAAATGCCAAAATAAATCAAATTCGCCCTTTTGTATTGCTTGCTCAAAAATCGTAACTTCCACAGAGACCTCAATCAGCGCAAACTCTGCACAATTAGAAAGAGCTGGTGAAGGAACCTACAATACTGACTGCTCCGATTTTTGTTGCAAGTTTCCGTTTTTTCATGACGCTACACAGAAAATTCAAATTTTGACCAATTTTCTTCTATCGCTTTTATCTATGAAACAAATGATCACTAGCAAGCAGCTAAGATGTCATTATGAAGAGCATGAGTTACTCTTTCAAACAAAAATAAAAGCAGCCAAATTGGTTGAAGAAATCGGATTTTTGAAAATGGGCGAAAAGAACTTTTGCATCAACCTAATATATGAGCAACAATGACATGCGTTAGCTGTCGAAAGTGGAAAAGAAGATTGCAGCCCGCGAATTGAGAATTGATATTATTCTAAAGTGTCAAACTTTGGGGTGGAACAAGTCACAAAGGTCAGAAACTCAATGAAAATGAAATAGCATTCAAAAAATTTTGGCGAATATCTGAATGGTGCAAAATTAATGCATGTTTTTTACCGCAAGCGGCTGGATAGTAGCAAAAGATTTGATCTACGTCAGGTATAAAGAAAACTAGAAAACCTTGAACCCGAAAATCTAAACCGTATGAAAAGGTCCTGATTCCAGCGTTGTCATCACGTACTATACACTCCAGATAATCATATGTACTTGCCGGATTTTCTTCGTGGCTGAAAACTGAAAAAAAGTAGAGCAAAACTCCGAAAGTCGCTTTTTCGGAGTTTTTTTTTCAGTGTTACATTTGATTTTCTCCACAAAAGCGCGAAAAAGGCTGCAAATTCTTTGCTACACTTCCAAAGGCTTGCAGAGCTTGTCTAGGCAAAGCATAAAGTTACCTACGGTCCCTGTCTGCGTCCAGTCTTGCTTTCTCTAGAGCAAGCCAATTTTGATTTTCTCGATTTACATGGAAATAATACATCGAGTACATATGGATAGCTAATGCGATAAGCAACTTTCTTGAGCAAGTTGATGATTCGTAAGAGTTTTCTGGACAAAGTTCCGATTTCTGGGCCTCAATAAATTTTAGAATTTTTTCGTTCACGTCAAGTGTTGAAAAGGAACATTAAAAAACAAGTTTCTCTGAAAACTCTATGGGATATTGAATCAGACGATCTAAACCGAGAACACGATTGAAAAACCAACAAGGTGATCAATTGGTTATCGAAGTGTCCATTATATAAGCAAGTCTTTCTGTAATTACTTATGGCACGGTAATGAAGTGAACATAGCAGAATAAGAAATACCGCGATCCTAGGAAGGTTTCCTTACGCTCGAGTCCTCGGGATGTTCTGATTAGGGAACCTCGGGAAGTTCCTGACTGCGTTGCTCTTGACGTCAACGTTCTCGTATGGGAAAGCCTGTCATTTATGCTACATATGTTTTCTACTCAGAAATTCACCCCAGTCGATAAACCGCATTACTTTCAAATTTTGGTTCCGTTTTTCTCGTACAAAATTGGTTTGGAGGACTTTTAGTAAAAGCATCGATAAAAAATAAGAAAACTAATCAGCGGTCATACTTGTTCAATGCGATGTAGTGCGGTGTTCACTACTCAAGTATTGGTCCTATGGGGAGGCAATTGTTATTCTAGAGAAGGATTTGAGAACAACCTATTCTAATTGTCTTGGTGCTAAGTACTCGATGTACTATTCTCATTCACTTTTACTCAAGCAGATGACGGAGCAGCTCTTAGCCGCATAAATGCATGAGTTGGAACTTCAAACTTGAAGTCCGATTAAAAAATGTTATGAGTTTCCCGAAAACCCAACGAAATTGTAGCTGTATCCAACTTTGGTGTAAACAAACAGGACTCTTATTTACTGCTGCACCCGCAAGACACATCGAACGGCGTCAAAGTCAATCATTACTCACAGCGAAAAGACAAGAAAACATTTTAGGCTTTTTATTGAAGTGAGATATTTTTAAGTCAACTTTTTCAACAAATCCATGCTTCTTTACTTCAATTTCTCCTTCGTGGGGTCGATTACTTCGTTTTCTCCACCATAGTCCTCTTTTCTTTCCCTCCATTCTATTCTATATTTTCTCCCTCCTCTTCGAAAGGCCATGTCCTCAACTTACGAGGGAATTCAGGGGGCGGCCTACGAACGACACGACGCTTGGGACATGAACGAGAAGCAGGAAAAGAAGCTTGTCTGCATGATAAGCAGGAGAAGATTTTTAGCCCCAGGAGTAACGCTATTAGTACTGCGGGTTGCTGTATCCATCACTCCTTGAACAAGCAAGGGAGTAACGATGGAGATCACCTTAAATGTGATTACATGGACAACTATAGCGAAGGGGGGAGGTAAGAGGGGGGGGGGGCCGTATCGACCCAAGGTCAAAAGCGGTTTTAAGCATAAAAGCACCGTGGCCAAATTTTTAGGTGTGCCCACTCTTTTCCAACTACCTCTGACAACTCAGGGAACGTAACTGAAAGAAATACTAAATGGACTCTTGGTTTAGGTACGAGCTTATCTTATATAAAGCTGAATGTCTGTTTGTATGTATGTATGTCTGTCTGTCTGTCTGTCTGTCTGTCTGTCTGTTTGCCTGTATGTCTGTCTGTCTGTCTGTGTGTACGTATGTTCCGAATAGAAAATTCCATTTCTGAACCGATCGGGACCAAACTTGGCACACATACACTTCGGGCCCCGGCGGGTGTCATAGGCTACTTTTCGTATCGATCGATATCGATTTTATCGATTTTTTGCAAAATTTGAGCTACGAGGCTGGGAGTTGGCACAGGGGGTAAGTGAGCATGGGGATTCTGAATACAATATTAGTTTTTAGAGTCGTGCATTACTTTTATCGATTTTATCGATTTTTTTGCAAAGTTTGAGCTACGGGGCTGTGATTTGGCACAGGGGGTAATCGAACATGCTGATCACCCCCGTGGGGGTGATCAGCATGCTCGATTACACCCCCTGCCAAATTCCAGCCCCCTAGCTCAAATTTTGCAAAAAATCGATAAAATCGACATCAATCGATAACGAAAAGTGGACTGTGACACCCGCCGGGGCCCGAAGTGTATGTGTGCCAAGTTTGGTTCGGATCGGTTAAGAAATGGAATTTTCTATTCGGAACATACGGCGGAGCCGGGTAAGCCAGCTAGTTTTCAATAGAATTTTTTGAAAAGCAGGTTTTGCAGTGAATGGATGATGGCTGGCGACCGACGAGTGATGTGTGGGAAAGTGAAAATTTCGTCAATAGAAATACACGATACATTTGAGCAACTTGTGTCGGAAGAGAGGAACATACACATATTGTTGTTGTGGTTTCTTTGTAAAATGTACCTTTAAAAAACATTGATCTGTTGCATACGCTAATATAAGGAAATGAATAGTGATTTATAATGATGTGAAGATGTTCAGTCTGTTTTCTTAGAAGATCCGATTGAAAAAATGTTCATCTTAGCAAGTTCTTCTTGCAACAGCCGGTTCTTAATTTCCTCTGTGCCCTTTCGTGCATATAGACCGTGAACCATCATGTGGCGCCTTACATGGAGCTTGGCCAACTCATATGCATCTCCTAGATGCATAGAATGCTTTAGACTGTAGAACGTGAAATGAATCGAACTTTTTGCAATGATTTCTTTTACTGTTTCATGAGGCTGCCTTCTCTAGCTAGATTCGATGGCACACCCGGATCGAGCCCAAGTCCCGGTGCAAGATGCATCCATTGGAGTGCTAACTGTTGGAGTTTGACTGTTAGGATGCTAGGCCCATTACGTCGCACCCTAAAACATGCATTGATGGTGGAGCATACTTACACCAAAAGGGCTTACGTCATGATGTTGTGTGGAGACTCCGTCTCTATGTTACTTCTTTCCTCTCTAGAGAGCCTTTTAGCAGCAGAAAACTGCGTTTGGGGTCGGCGTTGCTTGCTGGGAGGATGAGAACGCATTTTATGGCCTAAAAAAGCTTTTGCTATAGTCCAAAAAAGACGGGAAATGTTGTACCTGCTGGACCTCATCCGGGACATGCAGATCCTTACTGTACTGTAACAGCGTTCGATAAAACGGCAAACTATCTGAGTGTTCTCTGAGGTTTGATTCCCATTTTGCGAACATGTGCACTGACGCAAGTATAGTATTATAGAAACGCATGCTATCCTTGAGGTCAGGGATGTTACAGAGCTAAGTACTTCAATGGAATCCAAAATTTGCTGTTGACGAAGATTTGAATCAAGTATGTCGCCTTCCATAATGAAACAGTTGGGGCATCCCCTATTGAAGAAGTTTGCGTTCGGTACATAGTCAACAAACCCGTTTTCGAAATCTCCGTTGAATTCAATCACATCCAGTATAATGTGCTTATCCAATGCCAGTAGATCAATATTTCTGAACTGATGAGGCTTATTTACGAGCTGGGCATCTAATGCCTGCTTCATTTCGTTGTAGAAACATGTAATGGAAGAATGTACAGCATTGTTCCAGTCGAAATTATCATATCGTTTTGCTAAACTATAGCGCCTTAAGTCACCTTCACTACTTTCTGGAGCATCTTCAAGGCTTAAGGTGAGTTCGGGATCGCGTAGGTCCGGTGGGCTTTCTTCGTAGGATGTGGTGCGAGCCAAGTCTCTGAATAAATGCCAGTCCAGAAGTTGTTGCCGCTCGTCATCGCCTTCTGAGCAGCGGTCGAGTGAAAAATCTGCGAACGCTCGTGGATTGTATGCTGAAAGGAGTCTGTCATCTTTATTAGGGTATTTGTTGAGGAAGTCCGTATCGATACGTTCTATTTCGTCATTAACATAGGCCTCGATGGTTCCTCGCTCAAGTAAGTTTTTTGTGGTTTTTTTAAGTAGAGCTCGTTTTGCTATGCTGTAGACAAGAGCTCTCCACTTTTGTAGGTTGTCAACAAGTAGCCCTTCCTCGCGCTGCATATACTGCGACAATACAGAAAGCTCATGCATAGTAGTGTTGGCGTGATGTAGAGCTTTGTATGTCCTCGCATCCGAAAGCACATGAAATGTCGTATGTATGTCCTCGCATCAGAAAGCACATGAAATGTCGAAGTAGCTCTTTTTATGAGGCTGCTGCTGAAACGTCTGTTATCTCGTATATCCGTCAGTGCCTGTAGAATCACAGGGTAAACGCGAAGTATATTGTAGAGTGAATTGGCAAGACTAGCCGACCATCTTACAATGAAAAGAGCGCTCATCTGCAAATCTGGGAAACACATTTTTTGCGCAGCTTTCTTGTACACGCTCCTGCCGGTGGTTTTCACAGTATATCCAAAGAGATGGTACAAGTCCATGACAATGGCTTGTGCAAGTTTGAATAATGGACCTTTCTGTGCCTTCACAGCCAAATTCAATTTATGGGCCATACAAACTGAAATTATGAGATTGTTTCTAGGATAAAGATCATCTTTAGTCTCCCCAGCAATCATGTCTTTTAGTTTGGCAAACACTCCCTGAACATGACCGCCTCATGACAGCTGCACCGTCGGAAGATAGTGCTGACATTTTTTGCATAGCATGCTGTTTGAAGGACTTTCTAAGACCTGGCTCATTGACCCAGCCTTGACAGAAGTCTAGTTTTGAGTATTTGGAGCAAGTTCGACAGCATCTTTCACGTCTGCCGAGTATCGATCCTGGGACTAGGTAAATTGGTTACGATATCTCATTGCCTTACGATATTTTTTCAAGCGTGCTTTAGGACTCTAATACTGTGTGGTTTTCCCAATGTTGATAAATCATCGTTTATCAATAATGTTACGAGAGCGGACGTTGAAGTGCAGCCGTATGCGTTTGCAACAAAAGCTCGTCATCTTGATTACAAAGTTCTGCGATGGCAGGTCAGTCGCATTGTTTATTACCTTTCTCATTTTCTCCTATTCGTCTCCTTTTTCTACATAGGCCAATTTCTCTAGGTTATTGACACGCCTGGTATACTCGATCAACCACTTGAGGAGAGAAACACTATAGAAATGCAAGCTGTAACCGCTCTCGCTCATCTCAAAGCCGCTGTACTATTCATAATGGATATTTCTGAACAGTGTAATAAAACCATAGCAGAACAGGTAATTTTTAGAACGAAATTTTGTTTCTTTCGTTCTTTTTCGTTCTTACGTTTTACCTTGAGGTTGCCTTTGATTTTATAAGACTATTGTTTGGTAACAAGCCAGTCTTGATCGCTCTGAATAAGGTCTGTGGTTAATTCAGTGCAGAAATCGACAATCGAATGTATGCCTGGAACTTTCCTTGACATGATGATGCGCGAGTTTCGTAAAACCTGAGTAATGTTGAATGTACAGTTCCAGTATTGGGAGGTAAACATTACTAGAGGGCTAAAGTGCAAGTAGACTTTCATGTGGACAAGTTTGATCGTCCAGTTGCGATATCATTTGTTTAGTTTAGTCATCTAGTGCTGAGAATTCTAAACACTTTAACCATATTACATGTTGAGGGACTTTATACATGGAGGGGGAAGTAGACTGGCAAAAATGCAAGGAATACTGGTGTTCATTTTCAATTTTTCATTTTGCAAGAGTTCATTGCATGCAGGTCATCTTGCTCGGTTGTGATGGTTGGCATTGATTAGTCGTGTCGGAAAACTCTCACAACCGAAATCCAAGAAGAATGCAATTGATGCATGATTGATGATTGATCGCTGTTCATATGTAGTAGAAATGAGACAGCTTCTTTCAAAAGGTCCTGTAAAATGACACCATAACACACATAAGAAATGGGTGCTCATGATTCGATGTTGCAAATTTACGTTGTTGAACATTTCTACATTTAAACCTCTGCAGCAGACACCTCTAGGCTTGTGCATTCGACAGTAATTATAGTGCTCTGCATTGCTGACAACATTTGCTCGTTTACTTGTAGTGCGCGCTCTATATCAAGCGCACACTATACACAAGCATGGCGTTTGTTTTCGCAGGAGTCGTTGTTGGAACGCAAGAACGATATATTTACCTCTGATTCTGCTAGCTCATAAATATCACTTGTAAACCATATTGAGTTAGTACACTCTCAGTTCCTGTTCCTGAACTAAGGCATCCTTCTTGCAGTTTTCACACTATCTGCTCCTTTAGTGTGACCTTCTATTTTATTTACAGCTAGGTACTAGCTGTACAGCTAAGTATATCTGATACTTGCTTCGCCTTTTATGTTATAGCTGAGATTGTGTTTATCTTCTTCTTGTATTCATAGTTTCTCATACAATTGATGTATGGTACCGCAAAGTTCCCATCGATCATATGCCCTAAGAAATGATCGGCTCTTGGATCCGTGCGGAGGCTGAAACTTGTTGAACCTCCACGTAATGGCAGCACTGCATTTCCTACTCTCTCGCTATCAAAAGCCGCCACGGTTTGGATTAGCAAGACTCCACCTGCACACGAATCCTGGAGCTGATGATACTTATGGAAAGCTACTCATTTTTGATATCTTATCTAGTCATGAATTGCTTCAGAAACTCGTATTCCTTTCAGGCGAAAGTGGTCGCGGTCGGATGGGAGAATGAACTGAATATTGTTACTTTTGTTCACGGTTTAATATGAATAAACATGTAAAATATTTATTCGTGTATGTATGTATATAACGTGTGCACACGTTATCATATCTGTATATTGTGTGTTCTAACTGTATATCCATTTTACAAAATATCACTTTATTTCAGGCACGATGGTGATTGATTTAAACAAGTATTCAAACACTAACATTACCTAAAACCACGGCGAAAGAGTCGCTCTATATGTTTTCCTGACCTTCGCTATGGCTATCGTGGTACGTCTTCACATTAGAACGAAACAATTTCCTAAAAAAAAATTTCAGCTCCTCTTTGTGTATTTGCTTTTAGAGAAGAAAATAATTGTTTGCGGCACTCCTAACTCGCCGCCCCCGCCCCCGGCGAACGTTTATTCGATCAAGGATGATAAAGATCTGAGATCTTAGATCTCCTATGTGATCTCAAACATTTATTGTTTTTTTTTGCCATGTTGTTAATAAAAATTGTAAACAAAACTGTAATTTATAAAAAAATGATTGTAAATTAAACCTGGCGTTGGTTATGGGGTGGAGGGAGGGGGGGGGGGGAGTAGGAAATGGGAGGGGGGGGGGTCGCGCCAGGTCCGTCCCAAGGGGGGGGGGGTCGTGTCCGGCGGTCGCGTGCCGCATCCCCCGTTTTACCCTGCGCATGTCTCTGTCAAAAGCTCATGACTCTCGAGATTTTTATTCGACTTAGATTTCACAATAGTATGCTCCACAATGCAATATTCAGGCCTCACAAGGAAACGATACTCGGTGTCCGTGGCTTTTTGAGATGAATTGTATACCATTACACTCTTGGAATGCTAATTTCGAATCTGACTTCCGTTTCTGCTAATCGCTTCAAAGATGTTATAAAGAATTGTGCGGGCTTTGGCTGTCCACTGGAATACGTTCGAAGCGGCAACAGTGAAGGTGCGGTGTGGTCTAGTGCGCGATAGGCTTATGAGTCCATGCAGGTGTAGGTTCGAAACCTTTTGTGTTTTTCAGTTTTGCATTGCCTCAGTGAACCTTCTTTCGCATCTTCGAGCTAACTGAACGTCCTTACCCTTTAAAAAATGTTGAAATTTGGAAAAAATTTACTATTTGCGTTAAAATGTATCCAATGACCATAATTCGAGTGATTCTCGAACAAGTCTAATTGAGGTAGTGCAAAATAAAAACACAAAAGGGTTCGAACATACACCTGCATCGACTCATAAGCCTATCGCGCTAACCACTAGACCACACCGCCTTCGTTGTTGCCGCTTCGAACGTATTTCAGTAGGCAGCCAAAGGCCGCACAATTCTTTATAACATCTTTGAAGCGATTAGCAGAAACGGAACTCTGATTCGGAATCAGAGTTTCAAGACGAGTGTAATGGTATACATCTCGTCTCAAAAGGCCACGGACATTGAGTATCGTTCCCTTGTAAGAAAAATGTAATGAAAATAGTGAATTTTTCAAAATCTTCAAAAGATCTTTTCACGTATTTTTGATGCAAAGTCTAGAGGACATCCTATTGTTTTTAAGTTTCCTTTCTTTTCATATTGAGCATTATTTGCTTGGAATAAATAACTTCGGTTGTTCTGGCGACTTGTGGAAATGTAGCACACGAATTTTGCTCAAAATTTTAGTAATTCCATTGAGAGTAATTCAACAAAAATTAGAATGTATACTCCGCTGAAGTTTTTTCTTTGAGAAAAAGGCGCAAGGGATTAAGAAACACTGGTATTTTGTGACGCGCAAAAGTGAGACAATTTCTTATTTCTATTAAGTTGTCGGATAATTTGTGTCACACTTTTTTCTAAATTTTCTAGGAAATTCCAGGAACTTTCTGAAAACCCCAAATTTGCAACACGCTTAGGACATGGCAGGATCTACCCATTAGCATGATTGATGCCGCAAGTGCACTAATGACCAACAAGTTTACGGCAGTTTTGTAAAAGCAGTCAAATTTTTCAGTTTTTGTCTGGTCTTTTTCTCTGCACCTATTGTTCCTCTTCCGAAATTTTTTTAGAACGTATTTTGGCATTGTCTCTTAAACGGAGGCATTCCGGTGCCTCTAGCGTTTCAAAAACGACGGGTGAAAAAATTAACAAAAAAATTTAAAAAGTTTCCTAAATTCTTCTTTTTGTGTGCATCGTATAGAAATGAATATAGAAAACATGAAAATGATTTCTTGAAGTTTTTGAGGACGTTTTCCTTGTAAAACTTCCGATGATTGCTAAGATGGCGCACACTGAGACTTGAACCGCTCAGAAAGACGTGTGCAGACATGTCTGCGTTATTCCGCCATATTAGCCAAACGCACAGACTATGCCCTACCTGATTACCACACTGTCCGGTCTTTCGCTCATTACCTGAGAGAACGCCAGCTCATTTACAAAAATAGAAAGAAACGGATTTTTAGCCACAAAATGGGTATTTTGCGCACGGATCGATGCGACGGTACCCCCCCCCCCCCCCGAATAGGCGATTTGACCCCACCCATAGGCTGTGAGCATGAGATCTTTCTAAAGCTTCTGAGATTTTCAAATAAAATAAAAAGTGTAACAGAAATTATCCGACAACCTAATACATAAGAAAAACTGAATTAGGAAATCGCAAATTTTATTCTCGTTCGATAAGCCGAATAGACTTGAGAAAAGAAAAAAGTGCGTTTGTATTTATTAACTGCCTCATTTTTACATCCAAAGCAGCATGAAAAATGAGTAACTTAAGGCAGGACACGGCACGGGGTTGCTTTTGGAAAATGCAAAAAACGAAGTCCTCTTCGATTCTAAGCCCTGTACCCTAAACTGTTGCAAAATTATCAAAGAACGAAACATCGACTGAAGAAAATTTCACAATTTTTGCGTCAAAAACGTTTTTGGCCTCAAAAACGATATTCCCTTTGTTTGTCCCGAATACGATATCCAGCTTGCTTGCAAGCCACCTGTGCCAAGCCCTGAGTTAAGGCTCCCGCCAGAGCGCCGAAGTTATGCCAGCGCTACGCCAGCATTTCGATCGATACACGTGTATTTCGTTGGGGCGGGGCTAACTGACGTCCCCAACGAAATACATGTGTATCGATCGAAATGCTGGCGTAGCGCTGGCATAACTCCGGCACTCTGGCGAGAGCCTAAGGGATTTGAGTTCTTGGAGATTTAGCTATGGGGCAAAACTGTATTTCCCTACCAAATTGTGTAAACTGTAACAGTAAAAGCTTTGTACCGCCCTCGCAAGAGAAACTAAAGCTAAATCGTTGAAATTTGCATAAAAACGCATAAAATCACATTTCAGAGTGTGATACTTTACAGAGGCAAAGCAACTACTGATCATCCTTCCGAGGCAACAACTTAATCGCGAACACATCAAACATTGACCACGCCTACCACGCACGGTAGTCACACCCCGCTACCGGCTCTCCCTCCTTTCCTCCTCGTCGATTGTCGGATCCAGCTCGAAAATGAAGTGTAAGCCGATATTCTAAACATCAAAATCGATTTCGACCAATGTTTGATACGAAACTGTGCTAATCGCCATAATTATGATGCCATTTTGCTTCGCTGAAGTCATTAGTGCTGCAGTGTTTCCTCCTCTTATTGAGGATTTTTGTGCCGTACGACCTCCAAATTGTAACTTATTTTGTATAAATGGATATCAACGTCAAGTGAGGAATGTGGATGTGAATATGCTGCGAATCTTTGCCAGGTCGGGACAGGTACGGAATATTGTTGGGAAATTTGGCAATATTTTTTCAAGTTCAAAATGTGTGCTATTGGAGAGCATTGCTCTCCAATAGCACACATCGGAGTGTTGCTGGATGTATTTCAAACACGGGTAAGATTTATCTATTTATTTTGCGAAGCCATAAATAATCGCAATGACTGTTTTCTGAAAGATTTAAAGCGCATAATGGGTCTCTACCTTTTCAAAATCATTATCAACAAAACAACAAAAATCTTCTTTCCGCACCAAAGAGCTAATGGCCATTCTTTGTATTCAATTATCGTTCTTTTTCGCTAATGTTCTCAAATGTAGATATATTCTTTCTCTTGCTTCTTCCCTACTCATCTACCTAAAGCGAATACATTTTCCTGATTTTTTTGCCTTTGTCCATCTCCATTATCTCTTGAACTCTTCTTTTCACTATATGTAATTCGCTTCCTTTCTTTATTTATCTCCAGCTCGAAATCTTCGTTTAAATAGCTATATGAGGCAAATATTTGGTTGTCCCGAAAGTTTTGTCCACTTTTTCAACCTATCTCAAAAACACGTGGAGCGAGAATAGAGAAACGCTCTAAGCAGTATTCGACGCAACTTTTCCTCCTCTTTTTAACTGTCATGCTCCCATGTCGATTACTCTTTTGCTTACTGAGATAAGCGCAAAACTTCGAACCTGTGGTTTTTACTATGTCCAAGTTTGGCAATTTTTCACAATCTTCATTTTCGACTTTTGGAAGTCCTTTGATAGCGCTCGGATAGAGTAAACAAAGGGCAATGCAATGCAATTCTGCGGCATCTATAGCTAGCCTTGAGAATTTTTTAGAATTATTTTTCTGATGCTATCAAATTCCACTTTTGGTGATGCCATGAACCATAGAACATAAAAAGGCGCACAACTAAGGGGTCATTCGATGCAGGTGAGTGTATTTTTCCTCTAATTTGTGGGGTCTTTAGCGATAAATTTCCATAATTATTGAATTTGACCCCGCCCCAGAGTGTACGGTAAAATGCGGAATCTTATATTTCGAAGCGGTAAACGCTCAGTTGTTTTGTAAAAGTAGGGAATAATCGTAATTGATTTTTGAAAGCTTCAAAATCCGATGATTTGTTAGTGTTCGAAGCGTTTCTGTATTTTGGGACTTCCCAAAAGTGAAAACTTTTGGAAAAATTATCTTAAAAATACTGAAATGCCAGCTGGACAAGCCAAAAAATTGCATTGCATTGCCCTTTGTTTACTCTATCTGATCGCTATCAAAGGACTTTCAAAAGTTGAAAATGAAGATTGTGAAAAATTGCCAAACTTGGACATAGTAAAAACCATGGGTTCGAAATTTTGGCGTTTCTCTCAGTAAGCAAAAGAGTAATCGGCATGGGAGCATGACAGTTAAAAAGAGGAGGAAAAGTTGCGTCGAGTAGTGCTTAGAGCGTTTCCCTATCTTCGTTCCACGTATTTTTATGATAGGTTGAAAAAACGACCATAATTCCTTTCAAAAAACCTCGTAATAACGAAACGTGGACTAAAAAAACGTAATCCAGCTTGCTTATAATCCGCCTGCGTCGAGCCCTGCACCTCACCTTGCGAATTTTTATTCTTAATATGTAGAAGATCGAATTGAGGTTCGGTCAGCTTTACAATTGTCTCTTTCCAATCTGTTTGAATGGGCAACGACTTGGAATTTAAAACTCAATCTTGACAAGAGTTGCGTACTGCATATAGGAAATGGTTGTGCAGGTACTTATGGATCTGAGGATCTTGCGTTGAGGTCATGCGGCTCAGCTAGGACTTGGGAGTGCTTGTTGATGCTAAACTAAAGTTTTCTGAACATATCGATGCTGCTGTCAGAAAGCTTACACTCCCTATTGGTGCTGCTGCGCACCATAAGGAGTAACTCGCCTGCACTAGTGACGCGTCTCTACAAAGCCCTCATTCGCCCCCATCTAGAATATTGCTCCCAAGTTTGAAATCCTGCCCGGAAAAAAGATATTTGTAATATAGAAAAAGTGCAAAAAACATTCACGCGTCTCTTGTACAGGCGACTCTATTCTGATAACAGTATACCAGATTATAATGTACGGCTTAGAATGTTCAAATTACATAGTCTTTCGTTTCGTCGCAATCTCTCAGTTAGCGTTTTGTTTTCAAGTTTTAAAGGGTGAAAATCGGTTGAAGGCAAGTAAATATTGGATATTCATGCCAGCTAGTGAAAGGTCGGGAGGATTTAATTTGCATTACGCCAAAGTCAAAAAGCACAATCTTGCAAAAATGCACAGTAACATATTCTGCAGGTCTGCTAGATGGTTTCAGCGGTTGCCTATAGATGTTATGTGTTCTCAGACTGCACGTTCCTTCAGGGCTAAGTTGATGAGAGCTGACACACAGCTTTCATCCCTAAGCTTTTTGAAATGATTTTAATTTTGTCGTTTTTCTACCAGTTCTTTCTCTTCTTGGCTTTATGGCTGTTGGTATTACTAGCATGTCGGTTTTCGGTCCGCACGGTCATTTTTCGGAGTCGAGTCCTGGTGTTCTTCAGTTGCAGCTTGATTCTGTAGCCTGGTTTTATTTATTGGTTATTACTAACTTTAAGCATCATTAACTAACAACTGAACCAGCCCGGCTCATTCGTCAGAAGTTTTATCACATTTTACTGCCTTAACGAAGCCTAGTTTCCCATCTAGGGCACTCTTGTGTCCGCCTAATGAAGTGCCTCCCGGAGTAGCTGGTAGATGTTTACTCTGCCACTCTTGATCTGAATCTTGCTTCCTCTAAAATTTAATCTTTAATGAGGTCAGGTCAGCTAGCCTTACCGGCGGGCTCGTTGACACCCAAAAACGGGGCATCTTTGATTTGTGTGCAAGATTCATGTGATTGTTTTTGACCAAGTTACTTTCGTTCAACTTTACAAGCTGGGTCTAGAGCTTCGCGTTCTGTTTCATTCCGTATTTTCTTTTATCTTCTCTTGCGGCTGAGGACTGGCTGGTCTCATTGTTTGTTTGGATCTTCTTTTATTTCTTTGCTCTGGTGCACCTCGAGTGTATTCATAAAATAAAATAAAAAAAAATAATACAGTCCGCGATATTACGTTATAACAGACGATGATTTTCTATACGAAATTCTTGCGAATACATATAATATGAATATTTTTGTCCTGCGCACCATCTAGTCATTATAAATGTATGATACAAGTCTACTTTCGTGACCTCTGGGGCCCTGCTACAGTTCCTGCGAAAAACGAACAATAGGCTTCTGCATAAAATCTTCTAACGTGGAAATGACTTTTTATACATACTGGGTACCAGTCCAAGTAATGAGACCAGCTAAGAGACCGGATGAATTTATTGAAAAAGTCAATTATCGCTCTGAATAGGTGAACCGCGACACGAGTGCCCTCGAATCATTGGAGGATTATGTAACGCGTGCAATGTAAGACGGATAGCGATTGTCCAGGTTGTCTATCAAATATTTTTCTCCGAAAACTGAAAAGGCAGCATGCAAAAAGCAAAATGACTCTGGAGCTACTAATTCATCAGAGGATGAGTAAAAGGAACCAACCAAAATAACAACCACTAATTTGTGTGAGTATCGACTACATTCTCCCCCTCCCTTCTACCTTCCCCCACTGCTCTATAAATTAGCTCAGCAAGCCCAACTCGACAGAAATTTTTTGTGAATAGAGCATACAGAAATGTTTGTGGCTCAAGTTGCCATTTTGTCAAAATTGACTTAGGATAAGGTGCGACGAAATACTTTCTCAGGTTTTAGCTCTACTATTTCCGGCTTCTCCTATATGCCAGTTCTATTCGAGACTAGAAATTCGACGTAATTTTTTGTGCGTTTATGATGGGATATCTTCTTAGAGCATCAAATTTGCTGTTCAAATGGATGCGGACGTGAATGTATATCTACTGGCAGGATCCCTTATAGAGACTCATCCAATTGGGCAACCTATACAAGTTGAGATAATTTTTTAAAAATTTTTCCAGAAGTTGCTAGGTGCCTTTGTAATGTCCTTCGCTTCCACCTGTAGGAAAGGAATCTGTTATTGTCAAGCAAGATCATTCCATCGCTTGGTCACTGTTACAGCAAATGTTCTCCCTGCATTAAGTGAACAGTTCGTCTAATAAATGCTACAATATCGCCAGATTTAATGATAGGTTGGTCTCCTTCCTTTAACAAAATGTAGTATAAAAATTGTTCACATCGATCTTTCGCGCTGAAGACATCTATCCCACAGCAAAAAGCTGAAATGTATTCTTCGACGAGAAGGCGTGCACAAGTGGGAAAGAATTATCGTCATGACTTATCGTCGCCTTCTGGGGCATATAAAAGAAATTTTTTAGCCTACACAAAAAGTTCGGTCGATTCCGAGTGTAAGGATATAGAAATGCTGTGATAATATGATAATACCTGTGGTTCTGTATGTGTTGATCTTACGAACCTACAAGTGAGCTGTCAAATATATTAGGTTGTCCGAAAAATAATGTCGCATGGCATCCTACCGTGACAGAATGACCACGAAAAACAGCGAATAGGGTATTTGATAGAGCAAAATAAGCCCTAAAAATACTTGCAAACCTCCGCAGAAATCGTACTACACCTGAAGTTTGGATCCAAAATATAAAAAATTTGAATATCCGAAAAATCGTATCTCCGTTCATAGAAGTCTTATGGATCTCCAAGTTGCACAGACATGTACTCTCTATATTAAACATTCACCTGTATAGTTTGTGGTATATTTCCATGACTACAGTGTGAGTCGCGTTTTTCGGTTTTTTTGCAAACAATTTGATTTTTCTCGAAAACTAGCACATGTCCAAAAATGAAAATATGTGGTTATACTCCTAAAAGTTCATACTACAGAATCACCCATGTGAGAGAAGCTCAGGATTGTTTTGGCAGAAACATGCCGATCTTCGTTTTCTCAATTTTCGGTCATGGAAAAACAGCGAAAATATGCATACGAGTGTCTCGTATAATAAATCCATGCTGAGCAAATTGGGGGTTCTCAGGACTTTTCTGAACGGAGACACGATTTTTTTCTTTTTATATATCTTTAGTGCCCTATGAAATTTGGCTCCAAACTTCATGCAAATCAAACCCGGCGCAAAGCTTCAAGCCTCATTTTGCAGAGCTTGCTCTGATTTATCGGTTGATACCCCACTCACTTACTTTCGTGCGCACCCTGCTGCGATATTGCATATTGAAGCACGATGCGACATTATTTTTCGGACAACCTAATAAAAAACCATTTTGTACAAATCTGAATCAAAAGACTATTCTGCAAGATCTTGTTGAAGACTTACGAATTTTCTAGGACATTCATTTCTTCTTAAGTCTTCCATTTCTTATTTCTTACCTTTCGATTTTCCTTTGACTGCATACAAATTTATGATTTTCCGCCTGTATTTCATTTTTTTTGTCACCTTTTACTTAGACTGCATACACTTTGCAATAGCTGTAAAGAAACTTCCCGAACAAAAGCTAAAGTTTGGTTACGTTCCAATACGACAGTAATGGCAATGTGAGTTTTTTGAATTGTACCAATCATCCTTTATAACAAATTCTGAAAATCTGGCTTCTCATTCCTCTCAACGAAATTTAGTTCTTTCCGATCCAATGCGATGAGCGAATTTGTTGGTGCGTAGACGTGAACTACGGAATGGAAATTGCTGGATCATCTGTACCTGTTGGTATGAGAAGAGACGACATGTGTAAAGGTGAAAATTGCTTTCTTGACGGGTTATTTCTTGAGTTATTTTGTATGAAAGTTATTTATCTTGCAGCAGAATTTTTCATTCTAACTGTGTACTGATAATTTTTTGAGAATATCTGACGCTAAATCTAAGAAGTGACTTAGGGCCAGAGTTACCTATTCCTATACATGATCTGGTTCAAGTAGTCTTTGACTATTTGCTCAAGTAAGGTCAATGGGGTTCGATCCACTTGTATTACAAACATGTTGCATACAGCGGAGCAATTAGCTAAGACTTGACTTACTACGGGATTACGCAGAAACATTCCAAAAAGTCCAATTTGTATCCATGTTTTGTTTGAAGCCCACGAACACTAAAGAAGCATCAAAGATCTTTCGAAGACGCTAGGGGAAGGTAGGAGGGGTTTATTAAGAAAAAAGAGATGGAGAGTACAAGACGACACTTACACGATTGGAACAAACATAACCTGCACTGAAAAATAAAGAAGAACAAGACGATCGACCATACCATAAGCACCATAACTGCACCTTTCGAACGCAGCCATGCTGTAAAAAGGTGTAATAGGCAGACTCACTGAATTTTTCCGCGTGGAAAGCATGTCCCCATACGAAAAACTTAGTCGGAAATGTCCTTCAGGAGTTTACCGTGACCCAGTACTAGCCAATGTACTCCCGAGACCTCGCTTTGCCAAGTTCATTTGCCTCGGACTATCGCAAATCATAAATCGGCGTTTGCTTCGGTTCTGTATACGATCTCTAGCACTGAATAGACACATGTCCTAAAACCAAACCCTCTGAGCGCTTTGTATAACGTAGCTGAAAATATGACGACAAGATGGCAGAAGGTTGCGTAACTGTGGAACGTACCCTTCAACTGGCTTGGCGGCTGGGAGGCGGGGCTTTGTGACCTAATTAAGGCTAGATAATGATCAAAGAGCACACCCGCGCAAGAGACGCAGACTGCGTCGCGAGCGCGAGCGGTCTAAATTAGGTCACAAAGCCACGCCTTCCAGCCGCCAAGCCAGTTGGATCAAAGGATACACATTATCGACTGAATTTTGATGAAATTCTGTCATGTTGGTTTATGAACTCTAGAATTATGGAAAAACCTAACATCTATGATCATAGGCAAAACCGCAAATTCCTTGTGAAGGAAGTGTACTTTACTTGTTGAAGGCAGAAAAAGAAACACTGTATAAACAAACACTGTAAACACTGTATACTGTTATTCTGAAATATTCGAACAGAAGCTTTGCTTTCGATTTCAGAGTATAAAAGGCAACAATGTTAAATGAACCAACACATGAGGCTCTCCTTGATAGACATAAGTTTGTCGTCATGCGCTATAGTTGTCTATGTAATCACTTTTGAGGTGATCTTCATCGTTACTCCCATTCCTTGGTCAGGGCAGTGATGATACAGCATACCCTCGATACATAGAGCCACGTACTCTGGTAACCTTAACTTTGAGGGCTATGAGGGGACACAACCTTCACCTGGAAAAAACAGAAGTCATCCGGGACTTCGCCCCGGATCTTATAATCCTGACTATATTGCAACGAATGTGTATGAAGCGAATACAGAAAAGAATATCTTTAGATTGTCTTAGAAAAATCGGAAATTTGCGTTTTTATAACCTTTTTTACCATAAAAAGAAGGATTCTGTATCCTGCATCCATTGTTTTGACGTGCGAACAAATTCTTTGTCAAGAATTTGAATGACACGCTTGAAGTATTAGTTGGCATTGGCTTTATTTGACTGAAATATGATATTTTGGATTAAGTAACTCTTGCTCGAAAGCTGCGAAGTCAGCATAATTAAGTTTCCGATGAATGCGTCTTTTTTACATCGCATATCACTTAAAAGCAGCGGCTCGGCAGATTGACCTACCTCAGACTTTAACAGAGATAGATAGGAGGCCCTCCAAGTGAACCAAAACAGCAACTCCGTGCCGAAAATGTGAACTCTGCAAGCCAGGGGGCGGCGCAAGCGCCGCTCCCCTTCCTCCTTTAGCTCCCTAACCTTTTACGGACGAGTATTCTCCGCTAGAAGGTGCAAGACCCCAATCGCTTTCCCGCATTGTGCATGCTATACAAAGCCAAAATTACAGGCAGCAGGGTCTTCGTGCCAGGGCCTCCCGACCATACCCCTCGATACATAGAGCCACGTACTCTGGTAACCTTCACTTTGAGGGCTATGGGGGGACACAACCTTCACCTGGAAAAAAAACAGAGGCATCCGGGGCTTCGCCCTGGACGTTATCATCTTTATTATCCTGACTGTATCGAACCGTATGTTAATAAAGAAAATATAGGGAATTATATCCTTAGCTTATTTCAGCGAAACCGAGAGAATTAGCGTTTTCATAGCCTTTTTTACGCAAAAAAAGAAGGTTTCTGTGGAATTTTCGCCATAATTCAGGACAAAATTTGTCAGTTGACCTCTCATTTACAAAATCGAGTTTCAGAAGTTTAGGAAAGCTATAGGAGTTAAATAAAAACGAGAAACTGCGCTTAAATCTTGTGCAGAAAGTCGCGCAGGAATACGCTGGTCTATCTCGTTAATGAGTGATTTTCGAAGCTTGAAACGTTGTCAGTTCTCCTTGTCGTGTCATGACGATCAGAATGATATATAATTATGCAGGGCTTCGTTGAGACCCCGCGGAGATCTACGACCAGAGCCAAATGCCCCGTCGGCTCTGGTCTGTCTCCGCTGCTCGTCTGCGTCTCCGCGCGCTGCGCGCTACCTCGCTACCCCAAACGCGGGGCGCGGGGCATTTGGTTCTGGTACCCTTTTCTTCGCTGTTTCGAACCCAATGTTAGCAAACTGTATATCATTTTGAAGCTCTTGATCTCTATTTTCACGCTGACAACGTCCCAAAACCACATTTTTTGATTTTATTAAGAAATCCGGCAAAAACCTTGTTTTCGAAAATCTCTTGTTTTTCTCCTAATTTAACTCTTTTCACGCGGTTTTTTCGTGCATTCTGTAGATCTTGCTTCTGTTCATATTGCAGACAACCACCCAGCCCTTACTTCTTCGATTATGGTGGAATTTTTTGCGAAATATCGTAAAAAGTGCGTTTTTCTTTACCTTGTTCTGTCTCAGTGCTTTCGCATCGATTTTTTTTCCAGCTTGGGCGATTGTTGCTCAGAACACTAAGCGCAACAATCCAGACAACGTCCCAGAAAACAGGAACGTCAATGCGGGGTAAAAATTTAAAGGACGCATCAAAAATCAAAACCCCGTGTTGCGAATTGCTGGTCCTGGAGCGAAAACTTGCACTTTGGAAAGCCGCCAGATGAAAGAATTCAAACCTCATTGCAGCGTTTTTATCCGCCTTCAGCAGTTTCTTTTGCTTTTTATATCTGTTTTACGTCATTTTCTCTTTTCTGATCTTCTTTAAACAACCTTCACTATTTATGACGTTAGATGTTCAAACAACCTTCACTTTTGAAGCCCTGTCTCTAGACTATCGAATGTATGCTCCCGACTGTCCAGGAAAAGAAGATTATGGTGGAGAAAACGAAGTAATCGACCCGTAAAGAAGCATGGAATTGTTGAAAAGTTGACTTAAAGTAATATCTCACTTCAATAAAAAGCCTAAAATGTTTTCTTGTCTTTTCGCCGTGAGTAATGATTGACTTTGACACCGTTCCATGTGTTATGCAAGGTGCGGCAGTAAAAAAGAGTCCTGTTTTGTTTACACCAAGGTTGGATACAGCTACAGTTTCGTTGGGTTTTAGGAAACTTAGACCATTTTTTATTCGGACTCAAGTTTCAAGTTCCAACACATGCATTTATGCGGCTAAAAGCTGCTCCGTCATCTGCTTGAGTAAAAGTGGATAAGAATAGTACATCGAGTACTTAGCATCAGGAAACAATTAGAATAGGTTGTTCTCAAATCCTTCTGTCAAAATAATAGTTGCTTCCCCAGAACAGTTGAGTGGTGAACAACGCACCACTGGGCTGGTGACCATGCATTAAACAAGTATGACCGCTGATTAGATTTCTTATTTTTTATCGATGCTCTCACTAGAAGTCCTCTGTACCAATTTTGTAAGAGAAAAGCGGAATCAAAATTTAAAAGTAATGCGGTCTATCGACTGGGGTGAATCTTTGAGTTGAAAACATATGTAGCATAAATGACAGGCTTTCCCATAAACAATAACTCCGGGTCAGGTGTTACACGGGAACTTCCCGAGGGCAGGCGAGCAAAAATGGGAATTTCTCGAGAACGTTGACGTCAAGAGCAACGCAATCAGGAACTTCCCGAAGTTCCCCAATCAGAACATCCCGAGAACTCGAGCGAAAGGAAACCTTCCTAGGATCGCGGTATTTTGTAATACTGCTATGTTCACTTCATTACCGTGTCATAAGTAATTACAGAAAAACTTACTTATATAAAGGACACTTCGACAACCAATTGATCACCTTGTTGGTTTTTCAATCGTCTCCTCGGTTTAGATCGTCTAATTCAATCTTTTTCAGAGTCGTCAGAGAAACTTGTTTTTAATGTTCCTTTTCAACACTTGGCATTAACGAAAAAATTCTAAAATTTATTGAGACCCAGAAATCGGAATTTTGTCCAGAAAACTCTTACGAATCATCAACTTGCTCAAGAAAGTTGCTTATCGCATTAGCTATTCATAGGTACTCAATGCATTATTTCCATGTAAATCGAGAAAATCAAATTGGTTTGCTCTACAGAAAGCAAGACTGGACGCAGACAGGGACGTAGGTAACTCTATGCTTTGCCTAGACAAGCTCTGCAAGCCTTTGGAAGTGTAACAAAGAATTTGCAGCCTTTTTCGAGCTTTTGTGGAGAAAATCAAATGTAACATCGAAAAAATAACTCCGAAAAAGACGACACTTTCGGAGTTTGTTCTACATTTCTTCAATTTTTAGCCACGAAGAAAATCCGGCAAGTAAATATTATTATCTGGAGTGTATAGTAGTATGTCATACAACGCTGGAATTCTGCAGGACCTTTCCAAATGGTT